TTACAAAGTTACAGTAGATCAATACTCAATAGGACTTATGATGCTTCACAGCACACATGCATATTTTGCATTTTCAGTGTTAATCCTTAAACTCATTGTTAAAAAGTAATCACCGTGGTGGTTATTGTAATTATTGGTATTGTTTTGCATCCACGTTTTGTCGTTATTGGAAAATGTGTGGCTTATAAGTTGTCACTATTTTTTACTTGCATTATTTCAATATAGTTTGTAAATCTCAGAAGCGAAGGGTAGAACTTGCCAAAAGGCAATACTCCAATAATATACGTTTCAAAAAGCTGAAAAGCTTTTAGTTTTGCCGAGTTACATTCTCAAATGTTTAAGGCACTAATAAAATCAAAGTAGCATGAAATTATTTGAATCAATCACACTACATATATAATGCAATTTTTATAATATGTTATGTGAATGTAAACTGTCAGAAGAATACGACAACATGATTTTACGCGATCTCTGTGGGCAATGGTTCCACTTTAGATGTGTAGAATATGACACTAGTCTAAGTACCTCAAATGAGTGGTTATGTAGACTGTGCAGTGTGCACACTACCAGCTGCTAAGAAGCCTAAAATGTGTATGTAATTTTGTCTCCTTGTAATAAATAAATAAATCACACAATAAATCTTTTCAACTTGCAATCGTTTTGTTTTTAGATCAAAAATTCAAAATTTATATGGGGGTGGGGGGGAGGGGAAGAAAATCCTAAAGGGGGGGGCGATATTCCTAGGAGATTCGCCCCTTGGGGGGCGATATTCCTAGGAGATTCGCCCCGGGCTAATATCCTAGGAATATCGCCCCCCTTTTGAGAGGGGGACGAATCTCCTGGGGAGGTGAATCTCCTGTGACACCGGATTAGGAAGCTGTGATACATAAAAACACGCCTTGCTCTAAAGATTACATATTGTTATTTTCTATAATGAAAATCGTTTAAAAGAAATTACGTAAACATAACAAATGTTTTAATTTTAAACCATTACATTGTACTTGGAAGAAGTAAATGTCGTATTATTATTGTAAACGTATGTTATATAGTGTAACGAAAATCAAGCGACATGTATCATACCAGTGGTGAGCTACAATCTTGGACAAAACCCTTGAGACCATTCCAGCCAATATTACAAAGTTATTGAACATCGACAAAACAAGCTTTGTCCCCCCCCCCCCAGTTCAATGTTGTAAACAACGCTGAAACAACTTTTGATAATATACAGTACCATGCATGACACAAGCTCAACATTGAGTTTGGGGAGCGGGGACTTAAGAAAGCCAACATGGTTCAACATGGAGTTTATCATCAAAATGTGCGAATTTTGTTTTGGGGGAAAATAGTCACGACCAGTTATGTCTAAGATTGCAGCTGTGCGCATGGCAACTGGTCATGCTATGGTATAATCCTGCATTTAAACAGGTTACAGACAACGTATATATCACAAACTTCAATAATTTAATTTCAAACCATTGCATTGTACTTGGAAAAAGCAAATGTCGTATTTTTATTGTAAAAGTATGTTATACACTGTGTAGCAAATCAAGTAACATGCATGACAAAAGTGGTGAGCTAGCTGTGGCAAATGGTCATGATGCTATGCCATAATCCTGCATCTAAATAGGTTGAAGACAATACATTTCTAAAGATGCTTGTGATGTTACTCTGAGTGTATATCCACACCGGGCAAGCTTGAAAAATATGCCTGTCCATGGTGGGAATCGAACCTACGACCATTGGCATACTAGCTAGCCCAATGCTCTGCCAACTGAGCTACGCGGTCAGGTCGGTCCAAGCATGTGATATTTCGGAACAGAACCTAGTTCCTTCGATATCAGTGTAATTTAGTAATCATGATTTTTTCAAATTGATTAAAAAAAAAAGAAAATCATGATTACTATATTTTACATTGATATCGAAGGAACTAGATTCTGTTCGGAATTATCACATACTCGAACCAACCTGACCGCGTAGCTCAGTTGGCAGAGCATTTGGCTAGTATTCCAAAGGTTGTAGGTTCGATTCCCACCGTGGTCAGGCATATCAGTTTTCAAGCTTGCCCGGTGTGGATATACACTCAGAGTAACATCACAAGCATCATATTCACATGAGTACATTACATCAACACAGAAAAAATCATGATTACTAGATTACGTTGATATCGAAGGAACTAGATTCTGTTCCGAAATATCACATACTCGAACCGACCTGACCGCGTAGCTCAGTTGGCAGAGCATTGGGATAGCATTCCAAAGGTCGTAGGTTCGATTACCATCCGTGGACAGGCATATTTTCAAGCTTGCCCGGTGTGGATATATACTCAGAGTAACATCACAAGCACCATTTTCACCTGAGTACATTACACCAACACAGAAAAAAACAAAAGAAAAAAAAATTCTAAAGGTTTCCATAATGCAAATCAATTTGCATTATGGCTAGCTTCGCATGACACAAATTATTATTGGCATATTAATGTTTTGTTTTGAAATTGAACAATTGAATCTTTCCACAAAGCGGACAAACTCAATTGTACATTATAGTGTATATGCAAAATTGCAACTACCATTCCCTTGGTAAGCGAAAGAAGTAATGGAACACTGAAAATTGATCGAGATAGTCATTGTCGTTAAGTTATTCGAAAAGGGGGGAAATCGAACACTCTCGTACCGATTATTCTGCGTGATTATTCCATTTTATGAACAAATTTAGACTTAATGAAAACGTAATGTGATTGAAATAATTTCAAGGTAAGATCTTTCTCCATGTAAGCACTTATATTAATGTCTTTTTTTCGCCACAACTGTGAAATCTTTAGGGTGATGAATTTGCAGACCAATCGGTGAAGTAGTTGGTTTCTCCGCTCCCTCAGGAAGCTCAATCTTGTAGAGATGTAGCAACGTTGATGCAAATGTGAACATCACGATCCTTGCAAAAAGCTGACCGAGACATTCTCTGCGACCAAGTCCAAAGGGCATGAAAGCATGTTTCGTTGTCCAACCCACAAACTTTCCATCACTGTCAAGAAATCGCTCAGGATTGAATTCATTAGGTTCGGGCCATTCTTTTGGGTCATGATGGATTTCGTTAATATTTATGACGACGTTTGTATTCTTTGGAATATGATAACCAGCGATAGTTGTATCACGAATAGCAGTTGTCGCTGTGAGTGGAACAATATCTGATCTTCGTAGTACTTCACATAAAGTAGCCTGTAAATAAGGCATATTCTGAGCATCTTGCCAGCATGGAAGGCGATCATTTTCTACCACGTCATCAAGCTCCTTGTGCAGTTTTGCTTGAATATCTTGATGTAAGACATTATAAAGTATAAACCAACTAATTGTAGTTGAGACTGTATCTATTGCTGTTAAAACAACATCTAACATTAAGTCAGGTACATCTTCTATCGACCCGATGTCCTTGCCTGTCCAGTTTGCAATCTCTTTCTCGTAGGCACCGATGAAGCTGTCTGTCAAATCCCGTATGACACCTGGAATGTAGGTCTCACGGTGAGCAGAGAATTCGAGTGGAAATAACTGTTTCTTGATAGCTTTTGCCCTCTCCATCTTACGATTGTAGTTTGTTATGTATGCAAGGAATGGTATCAGAAGATATATGGATCTTTCCCTAGACTGATTCGTTATTATCCCTTGTATTTCGTTAAATAAATTTATGGTCGGATCATCGAGAGTTATCTTCTTAGATGTTAACCATTCCCAAACTTGTGCAAATATTGTTGATGGGACAAGTTCGTTTGGCGAGAACGATTGACATTTTTCAATTTCTTGCAGTGCAAGTTGAACGGCATGTCTTGCACGATCTTCAGCTTGCCCAAGACCGGATCCAAATACATGAAGTGATGATTTAAACACTCTCTTGCGAAATAAATACCCGGCTGAGTAATCTGAAAAGACAACGTCCTTCCCTAATATAAGTTCCAACGGATAAGTTAATTCGGATGACCTGCCGGCAAAGTCGTCTTTTGTGCCAAGTCTTGCATTTCTTGCGAGTGATGCGGTATTTAGTACAACAAACGTTCCATTGGGCATGAATACAGTGAAGATTTCTCCATATTCTTTGGACAATTTCCTGAAAGGAAATGCTTGGTCGGACATTACATGAGGTATATTGCCAATCCATGGGAGGGGAAAGGGTCCGGGGGGCATTCCTTGCTTCTTTATACAGGTATTACTGATGTACCAAATAGTCCAAATAAGGAATAGCGACACTGCGACTTCTGCGATCATGATACTCGATCAGTGTTGTCATTAACTAAGAAGAAGTGGTATATGTATAATTATCGGCAACATATGCACTCACTTTCAATACCATATGATATTCAATTTTATCTAAAATTACCTGAAGTTGATCAAAGAGATTCATGCAATAGTTTGGAGAAGGTGTTGATGGGGTATATCGTGAGTCGTGATTGCTCAATTTCGGTTACCGTCAGTCGTGAAAACACTAAAGCCTGGCGCACACGATGCGATTTTAGTCGGCCGATAAAAACCGTTTGACATACCGATATACATCGGTATGATGTATATCCGCCACGATTACGAAAAAAATACGCTCCCTGAACTGTAGCCGCCATGTTGCCAAATAAATACAAGCAGGTGATCACAGCATGAAATCTGATTGGTTACTAGTTAAAATTCCACCGATAAAAATCGTATAATATCAAAACGTTTTGATGTTGTCCGATTAAAATCGAGCAACAAAAAAGCAAGTTTATACGTGCCCATAGGCATTATAAACTTAAGTTAATGAAACAAGCGTTCGGATATAACCAAAGTTGTGCAAAGTCCTTTGATTTGACCAGGTTAGGCACAAAGGTCAGTCTTAAAACGCGTGATCACTCACGTGCAAAGCACTCGGTAAATAACAATGAACCACTGTCAAACACTTCTTCCCATGCATGTGGGAAAATAGACCAATCAGGTCCAACTGTTTTGTTTGCTTATGCTTCCTGCCTGGGCTACAGGCTTCATTGTGTTGCCGGTGAGCCAAAGTGAAGGACACTTCACAGCGAAAAAATTGCTTAAATTTGTAATATATCTCTCACGAGGCAATGCCTCCCGCCCGACGCCAACGCACAGCTGTACAACAACGCGCAGAGAATGCAAATCAGCCATCGGTAAACGATCTTCGACAACAATGTCTAGAAAAAGGTTTATCTGACCATGGTCGTCGAAATACGCTGGTCGCGAGACTGCAACAACATGCTTCAACGTCGTCGACGAACAATACTGCCACAGAAGCAGCGACAATTGTTGATATTGCGAACAACAGCGAGCAAACACCACTCGTCGAGCGAAGATCTGTGTCACACGAAAGCTCAAACGAAAACCCTCTGCTGAACGACGCTCAGTTGGCCCAAATCCAATCAATCGTCGCGAAGACGGTCGAACAACCGGTGAACGATATCGCAACAAACGCCGCTCGTGCTGCAGTACAAGCCATGGCAACTGCGCCTTCGTCAGCGCCTACGAATGAGCCACAACAAACCACGGGCACGGAGCTTTGCCCAGTGTTGATAAACCACACCACGCCAATCTCGACGCCAAAGTTCCAAACGTTCGAGCCCGAAGCGCCACATTCCTCTTCGCAGAGTCTTCCCGCTAGTAATCATCTCCCATACGGACAATCTTTCCACGACCTACCGGCATCGTACGTGAAGAAGATCCAGTCGGGTGAGTTGTTTGAGCTGTCAAAACTTTTGCCAAAAAATTTATGCAATACGGTAGATGAACAGCCCGTTGTACTAACGGTCGAAAACTCTATTGTTAAAGTTAAGCAGTCCACTCAGTCCACAACAAATATCACGGACATTGATAAGTGGACAACAGCCTTCACCACCTATATGAGCGTTTTCACGCATCAATTCCCTAACAGAGCCCAGGAATTGTTGCAATATATGACCATTATTCGCCATGCTGCTCATTGTCACAAAGGGGTGGGTTGGTGTATTTACGACATCAAGTTTCGTCGGAAGGCTGCACTTAACCTATCCCTCAACTGGTCCGAAATAGACCAGCAATTATGGTTGATGACCTTTACAGTACCACCAGCCAGTCTTAGAGAGGAATACCCTCTTTTCCATAAAGGACCTCAACACTATGCCACCCCGGGGACCGAACAAGGGGGCATTTGCCGAGATTTCAATAGGAGCGGCGCTTGCAAACGAGCGCAGTGCAGGTACCGACATATCTGCAATCGCTGTGACGGGGAACATGCCGGTCTTTACTGTACAGAGAGCGAAAGTCTCCAACCATATAGAAAACAAGGAAAGGTCCATTCATCCAGCAGCCAGCGCCATTCCAACCAAGACAAACGATAGTAATGTAGTTAGATCACTAACACCTATTTTTGTAGCTAATTTAGAAGATTCTCTAGCGGGACATCCCGACCCAACGCTTGTTTCACAATTATGTTCAAATTTAAAGGATGGAGCCCGAATAGGTTTTGAAGGGCAAAGGGCACCTAGATTTTCAAAAAATTTGCCCACTGCACTTACCCATCCAAATATTGTAACATCAAATTTGGAACATGAGATTTCCCTTGGCCGTGTGGCTGGTCCGTTCAAGACCCCACCTTTTTCTAATTTCCAAGTCTCTCCTATTGGCCTGGTACCAAAAAAGAATTCGACAAAATTTCGAACAATTTTCCATCTTTCTTTTCCAAAATCAGGTGCAACAAGTATTAATGCATCAATTCCAAAGGAAGATTTTAGTCTCCATTATGTGACAATTGACAATGCGATTGAAGGTATTAAGCGTTTCGGCCACGGCTGTTTTCTGGCTAAAACTGACATTGAATCCGCCTTTCGTCTCATTCCCGTGCACCCGGACGACTATGAGCTTCTTGGTATGTATTGGGAGGGGAAATACTATTATGACAAAGTTTTACCTTTCGGCCTACGAAGTGCTCCATATCTGTTCAACCAACTTTCTGATGCTATTGAATGGATCTTACAAAATAAGTGCATGATTTCATTGGTATGTCATATTTTGGATGATTTTCTTATCATGGAGCCACCATCCCAACTGCCCCCACACTATAGCACTTGCCAACAAAGTCTAACTGCCATGATGCTTACATTTAAGAACCTTAACATCCCATTAGCCCCGGGCAAGACACAAGGTCCTGCAACTGTGTTAGAGTTTATGGGCATTATCCTGGACAGCGTTCGCATGGAAGCACGGCTGCCGGATGACAAAATTGAACGCCTCCGAGCAGTTTTCAACACATTCCAAAAAAGGCGGTCATGTACTTTGAAAGAACTTCAGTCACTTATAGGTACCTTAAATTTTGCATGCAAGGTTATCCCACCGGGTCGCCCTTATTTACAAAGAATGATTGAATTGACAAGAAACATAAGACAGCCCCACCATCACATAAAGCTTAGTGCAGGCTTTTTTAAGGATCTCGAGATGTGGAAACAGTTTATCGTTAACTGGAATGGTGCCAGTTTTTTCTTGTCTTCTTCATGGGAAAACTCTGAATGCCTTCAGCTCCACACTGATGCATCGGGGGTGTTGGGCTACGGGGGATTTTCGGGG